TGTTCCGACCAATACTTTGCAACAAACATTTAGGACTGGAAGTGGAAAACAATCAGGTATAGTTACTCTGTTAAGCTTCCGATAATCGATTACAGGTCTCCAAGTACCACCTTGCTTTGGTATAAGAATCAATTGGGCGTTCCATGGCGAATTACTCGACTCAATTACGTCACTCTGTAACATTTCCTCTATGAGTCTATCGGCTTTGGCTCTCTGAGAATAGGGTAAACAGTACGGTAGCTGGTACATAAATAGGTATAGTTCTTTGCTCAAGAGGAATTTTATGCGTAATAAGAGGAGTGTGACCTAACTTTTCTCCTGGTAGAGCAACAACGGCTCTATTCCTGTTTAAAATTTCCAAAAGCTGAACCATAGAGTCAGGGAAGTCAGTAGGACTGAAGTGTTGCGCTTGCACCTCTGGCTGAGATTCATGTTCTCTTGGTGTGAGAGTATAAACAGTATGTTTCGTGGAGACATCATCCACCACTCGCACTGGTAACGAGTAATGGGCAAAATCTACATCATGGGTGCCAGACTGGAGATGGATGTCAGCATTACTAGTGTTTGCAACATACAATGTAACGATACCATCCTGCACTGTATGCCAGGAGGGTTCAACAAACGTACTGTTCACTTTTCACGTATCACTTTCTGCAATGACATCCAATAACTCAGGCACTCCCTGAACTTTAACTCTTACTCTGGTGAGAGAATGAGAGTGCAGCACAGTGTCAGTAGATGTGGAATCACTGACTTCAGAGATGGAAGCTGCCAGGCGAGCGAGACAACGAAAATCCGTTAGGGCGTCCCCATCCAGAAAGTCTCGATACTCACTCTCCTTAACAACTACACAACTACGATGCTTCAATCGAGTGCCTGTTTTCTCGGGTATACTACTGCGACAAGGATCTGACAAACCTATGCTAGCGAGTCGGGCGTCGACAAAATTAACATAATCTGATTGAAGGTTGAACTCATGGCCCTGTCAATACATGCTACACAAGGGTATGACGTGGTCTTTGATACTAATGTTCCAACGATGGGAAAACAATTCAATATTTTCATCAATCATGGTGTACAGACCTAAGAGGATGTCACCAGGAAAATGCATATAGTCAACAACTAAACAGGTTATAGAAAGTGTGATGTCATCTAACTTGAATGAAAGGTCAATTTCTCCCTGAACTTTTACTCTGTTTCCTGAAACACCACTTAGAAAAGGTATGGGTGACTTTCTTACTGGAGTAGGGTGCTTACTTACAATGTTTCTGAGGACTTGACAATATTAATTTTTGCACCAGAGTCAAGAAAAACTTTTAAAACTCTACCATGTACAATGGCTGACACAAGGGGGCCATCACTTGAGACTGGATATGTTACTACTTTTGATTTATGGTGCCTAGGAAATCTGCGTCAAATACACTGCGGTTCTGTCAACATCTACAACCGGTCGAGAGTCAGTGTCCTCCTCTGTCAAGTGTCCAAATCTATTTTGGGTAGCGACTGAGTACACAGGGAGGGCACTAGGACTGGCTAACTTGAATTGGTTAGCGGATTGCTTTGGGAGTTTCCCAACGACATGGAACGAACATTTTGAGTTCCAGCATTCTGTGATTGATTATTATAATTGGGTATTATGGCTTGGCTGGGAGTTGTAATTATGAGAGTTCTTATAATATATCAGACGCTGTGCGCCTCGCCAAGACTGACCGTGGGAATTACGAGGTGGGGATGCCCTTTGCCTAGCTCTACAATCTGCAGTGTGGTGACTGACTTGTTTATGATATTTGCAATATGGGATCCTAGAATTATTGGATTGACTAAGAGAGCAAGAGAACTGTCTAGGGGGTGATGATCAAGGAGTGGACCAACAGTCCCTTGCGAGGTGATTAGTCTTACCACAATGCCAACATGAGAGAGTGCATGGTTGTGGGCTTTGGTGTTTCGGCAACTTATGAGGAGGGAAATCTGACTGCGGGCTACGAGCATCGGTGCGGTTCTGCGAACAAGAGTTTTGAGAGTTTGTGGGAGGATGCTGAGGGCTTGTTACTACATTCACAGTGTCAGAGGATGGCAACAGTTGAGCACTTAGGGGAGCTAGTTTATTGGCGGCATTATTGATAGCCTCAAACACTTCACTTATTTCATTTTTAACTCCAAAATTTTGTTGCTCGATGATCGGTTTAGTATGCTCGGGGGCAAAATTAATTAAAGTTCCAAATGCAATCATTTTGGCCATGGCTTGGGAGGGGTCAATGTCTTGTTGGGATCAACCCATGAGGAACTAAGCATGGCAGTCTTCAAGGCATACAGATACTGATCGAGTCGGTTCGTAAATGCATTAAACGATTCACCAGGCTGCATGGTGGCATTGGCAATTTTCTTTACTAACCTATACGGGTCGAGGTCTCCTTTATTAACAAAGTGCCGGCGAAAGAAATCCTTAAATTCCGACCATGACTGTAGGCTAACACTGGCTTTCTCGTCTACAACAAAACGAGCATCATCTCTGGTTGTGTCAACGGCTGACCGAGCAATTGCCAAATATTCGGCATCAGTAGGCTCAGAAAAACGGGCCTTGGTTTTTGCTTCAACCTTGCTAAACCAGGACTCTAACAAACGGGATTCACCAGCAAAAAGAGGAATAGCCATTTCCTGAGCTGACCTCTGGACAGGAGCACAAGCAATTGCTCCATTGGAGGCAGCACAAGTTGCATCAGTGGAAGGCATTGTCACAGCTGTAGAAGTAATGTTTGAACGCAGGTTATAATTAAGTGCAAGGGAGAGCGTAGGAGAAAGGGAGAGTGAGGCTGAGCGATGGATGGATATGGGGGAGATGGATGGATAGGAGGAGATGGATGGATAGGGGGGGGGGTTGGATGGATGGAGGAAGAGGGAGGGAGAGAGGAGAGGATGGGAGGAAGGGAGATGGGAGAGAGGGAGAGGGGGGGTGCTGTGCTAATGGGGGGATGGGGAGTGTGTGTGTGGGGTGGTTCAGAGTTGGGGAGGGATATGAGAGGGTGTGGGCAATAAGGCTGGTAGTCTCTGTGTGTATTGCATTGTTGGAAGTGCTATGATAAGAGGGGGGGTGGGGGTGAGAGAAGGTTGGGGGTTATTCGCTGTAGGGCATAATGTTTTTCACATGTGGGTGCCAGAAAATGGTTCCCAAGTCAGCCGTATATTGTCTCTTGCGGTTCATTTATATCCAAGACTAACTATTATATTGCAATAACACTGTACATTATATGGTTGACTGACATATTGAGAGGCCTTACCACCAATTCGACATCCCACAGCACAAATAAGTGTTAGAAGTACTGCTGACGTCTTGTTTATGTCCCCCGTAGGCCAGTCGATGTCCATGCCGCTGCCAGGCGTTGGTCACTCCAACTTCTCACTATATATCACTAGTAATCAGCTTCTTGTTCACCTTAGCACCGGTATAGCTCTAATGCTACACGTTTAGACTCACTTCTTCACTATTCTATTCACTATTTGCTTTGATCTTCACTATCACATAAGTTATGTACACTCTTACATAACAACGTGCATGTCTTGGCATTGATGTCATACCCTTGAAAATGCACTATCGTACCCCTCTGCACTATAGGACACAATCCATGAAATTGCTAATTTCTAATAGGTGTGTTGCACTTCATATTATTACTAGGTAACGATTTTCCCACGTATCCCTCTGATGTCCCGAATAATGAAGCCTTTCCGACGAGTGCAGCGCACATGTTCCTGCCTTCCCAAGACCCTTGACTGTATTCACCTAGTACTCACCTAGTTGTGTTTGCGGGGGTTGAGCTTTGTTCTTTCGGCCCGCCTCTCAACTGGACTGGAACTGTTTACTACTATTTTTTTTCTCCAGACCACACACACACCCCAGAAAGCAGCCCGCGACAGCTGACTAACTCCCAGGTACCTATTTACTGCTAGGTAACAGGGGCATTCAGGGTGAAAGAAACTTTTGCCCATTTGTTTCTGCCTGGTGTGGAAATCGAACCCGCGCCTCAGAATTACGAGTCCTGCACGCTATCCACCAGGCTACCAGGCCCCAAACTGTGTTTACTAGTTGTGTTTTTACGGGGGTTGAGCTTTGCTCTTTCGGCCCGCCTCTCAACTGTCAATCAACTGTTTACTAACTACTATTTTTTTTTTTTTTTTTTTTTTTTTTTCCCCACACCACACACACACACACACACCCACCCCAGGAAGCAGCCCGTGACAGCTGACTAACTCCCAGGTACCTATTTACTGCTAGGTAACAGGGGCATTCAGGGTGAAAGAAACTTTGCCCATTTGTTTCTGCCTCGTGCGGGAATCGAACCCGCGCCATAGAATTACGAATCCTGCGTGCTATCCACCAGGCTACGAGGCCCCCTGTATAGTGTTATTGTTTGAATGCATGTGAAGCAAATCTCTGTTATTCTTTGAGTGTATGTGAAGCAGATATCTGTTATGGTGTGACTGCATATGAAGACGAACTTTGTTTTTGAGTGAGTGCATGAGAAGCAGAACTGTTTTATTGTGTGAGAGCATGAGAAGCAGAACTGTGTTATTGTGTGAGAGCATGCCAAGCAAATCTCTGTTATTGTGTGAGTGCATGTGAAGCAGAACTGTGTTATTGTGTGAGTGCATGTAAAGCAAATCTCTGTTATTGTGTGAGTGCATGTGAAGCAGAACTGTGTTATTGTGTGAGAGCATGCCAAGCAAATCTCTGTCATTGAATCATTGTATGTGAAGCAAATCTCTGTTATTAAGTGAGTGCATGTGAAGCAGATTTTTTTTATTGTGTGAGTGTACGTGAAGAAGAACTGCGTTATTGTGTGAGTGTACGTGAAGAAGAACTGCGTTATTGTGTGAGTGTACGTGAAGAAGAACTGCGTTATTGTGTGAGTGCAATTGAAGAAGAACTGCGTTATTGTGTGAAGCATGTGAAGCAAATCTCTGTTATTGAGTGAGTGCATGTGAAGTTGAAATGTGGTTTTGTGTGAGTACATGTGAAGCAGATCTCTGTTATCGAGTGAGTGCACGTGAAGCAGAGCTCAATTATTGTATGAGATCATGTGAAGAACTGTGTTATTGTGTGAATGTATGTGAATCAAATCTCTGTTATTGTGTAAGAGAATGTGAAGCAGATTCCATTTACTGAATGAGTGCATGTGAAACAGATCTCAGTTATTGAGTGAGTGCATGTGAAGCAGATCCCTGTTATTGAGTGAGTTCATGTGAAGTAGATCTAAGTTATTGTGTGAGTTTATTTGAAAAATTAATATGTTATTATATGAGTGCATGTGAAGGAAGGTCTTAGTTGTTGTGTGATTACATGTGATGCAGAATCTCTTCGTTAATGCATTTTTTTGTTGTGTTCTTTCAGAGTGTAAAATCTATTTCAACTGCTTAACAAGCAGTTAAAATATCGCCTGGTTACGTCCCCGGAGAACGACTCTGCCATGATCAGCTGGCTCAGGGTAAATACTTCTATAGTTCCAAGCTGGAAATATTGATTTATTTGAGTGTAATGCAAGTCTTCCATGATTTTGGTTTTGTTCTCTTACAGTTTTGTAAAATTATATTTAATTAACTATTTTAACTTCAGTTTTATATTTTTCACACTTCAATTCTTGATATAGACTGATGATGCATCTATCGCAGGTGGTGCCTGTTGTGTCAGTCTACTGGCTTTCTTCAACAGATCGGCAGGACAGTACTACTGTGTGTAGTTGGGATGACGGCGTTGCTGGTACTGGTGTACCCCTGGCTGGAGCCGGGAGGTGTCGGTAGTGCCGTCCCCGGCCTCCTGTGGTCGCGGTCCTCCTCACCTGAGAGTCACCACCCTCCAGGTGAGCTGTGGTTATAACATACCTGAGAGTCACCTCCCTCCAGGTGAGCTGTGGTTATAACGTGCAAGTGTGCCTGAGAAAGCCTACCTCGTCACATTTTGTTAAGCTTCTGCCGACTTGGTGCCATGCAACTATTTGGCTAGAATTAAACGGAAAAAAAAATCTTGTAATAGGAGTCATATACAGGCCGCCAAACTTAGACAGAATGGAAGCAAAGCACATATGAGATGAAATATCTAGAGCATCTAGGTCTAACAGTATTTGTCATGGGTGACTAATTTTAGTGGAATAAACTGGTTTAACGGAACAGGGAATAATGAAGCAGATTTCATAGAATTAATTGACGATTGTTTCTTACGCAACACATTTAGGAACCAACACAGGAAAATAACAATTTAGATTTAGTGTTAACTAACAGGGAAACAGAAATTGATGACATTGAAATAGGGAGTAAGCTAGGGAACAGTGATCACAAAGAAATCAGATTTAGCATAGAATGGAATAGATCTATAGGAGAAAATTCTGTTAGAGTGCCAGATTTTTGAAAAGCTGATTTTAATAGCCTAAGATTTATTTGGATGACATTGATTGGAAAGTCTTGGGCATAGGATTAGGATTACGTGATGCTATAAAATCCCCATCACACAGGATGGTTAGCCTCTGTATGACTAACCATCCTGTGTGATGGGGATTTTATAGCATCACGTAGTTAGCTTTTTTGACACACTGTACTCCACTTCATATAGTCTAGGGTAGCTGCACTAATGCAGATGTACCTAATGTATTAATGAAAAAAAAACTTGGGCATAGGGGGTGGGCCGGTCTTGGAGCAAGACGTGAAGTCAGCGATGGGTGATGGAAAAAGGGATTTCGATGTGGATTCACAATATAACTAATTTAAAAATATTCTAAGCAAAGCACAGGAACGTAGTATACTATACGAATTTAATAGATCGAATACTAATGACCCGAAATGGATAACAAAGGATCTGAAGAACCTTATAGGTAGAAAGAGAGCATGGTATAAAAGGATTTAGAATGGGGAAGTCTGTTTAGAACAAGAATTCGTACAACTGGTTAGAAATAAAAAAAAAAAAGAGATAAAGAGGATAAAGAGCAAAAAGAAACTATGAAGTTTGCATAGAAGGGCAAGCAAAGGCAAATCCTAAAGGCTTTTTTTCAGTTATATCGAACAAAGATTAGGGAAAGGATAGGTCTATTAAAACTGGGACAGGTCAGATAACGGATAATGACGAAGAGGTGTATAGTATTTTTAATAAATATTTTATCTCTGTATTTACTAAAGAAAAACTTAACACTATGTCTTCAGTTGAAAAAGTTTATGTGGGTGGAGATTAGGATAGGTTGACTAGTTTAGGAGTTACCATAGGGAGGATGTTATTAAACAAATAGTGAAACTCAAACCAAACAAATCCCCAGGGCCGGACGAAGTGTTTGCCAGGGTGCTTAAAGAATGCAAAGAGGAGTTTTACGATCCATTGTCTACCATTTTTAATAAAGCATATGAGTCAGGCAGTGTCAAAGTCGTGGAAGGTTTCTAATGTGGTACTAATTTTTAAGAAAGGAAATTTCTTAAAATGAAGCTATCTTGCACAAATCACTTGCATGAAATTATCGGTCAAGTAGCCAAATGTCTACTGTGGGAAAGTTACTTGAATCGATAATTGCAAATACCATTCGTTTTCACCTTGAAAAGCATAAATTAATAAATGATTGACAACATGATTTTACCAATGACCGTTCATGTTTAACAAATTTGCTCTCATTTTACTCCGTATAGTTGAGGCAAAATTTGCCGATGATACAAAAATCGGGAGGGAAATAAGCACAGAAAGGGACTCAATATCACTTCATGACGATCTAAATAGAGTTTTGAAATGGGCAAAAGATTGGCAGATGCAGTTTAATGCTGACAAATGTAAGGCTTTGAAGCTATGTAATGATGATAGAGTTACAAGATACGAGCAAGATGGTGTTGAGATTGCAAAGACGGATTGCGAAAGGGATCTGGGAGTAATGATTAGTAAGATTTTAAAACCAAAAAACAGTGAATAAATGTTCGTAATAAGGCAAATAGGACACTGTGATTTATTAATCGAAACGTTAGTAACAAGACACCTGGTGTTGTTCTTCAGCTATATCTTGCTCTGGTTAGGCCCCATTTATATGATGCAGTTCAGTTTTGGTCGCCGTACTATAGAATGGATTTAAATTCACTTGAACGTATCCAGCGTAAGATTACAAAGTTAATGCCCACATTAGAAACCTGTCATATGCAGAAAGATTAACAAAGCTTAAATTACATTCTCTAGAAAGACAAAGAATTAGGGGTGACATGATAGAGGTGTATAAGTGGATGAATGGGCATAACAAAGGGGATATTTAAAGGGTATTAAAAGTATCAACACAAGACAGCACACGAAACAATGGATATAAACTGGAAAAGTTTAGATTTAGGAAAGACCTGGGTAAATACTGGTACTGTAAACGGGTTGTTGATTTGTGGAACTAATTGACACGCAACGTGGTGGAGGTGGGGTCCCTTGATTGTTTCAGACCAGGGTGGGACATGTATATGAGTGGGATTGGCTGGATATAAAGAGGAGGTGCATTGTGTGGGCCAATAGGCCTTCTGCAGTTACCTTTATTCTTATGTTCTTATGGTCTTAAACGAATAAATAATGGTCACCAGAACCTTATGTGTAAAAAGAAAGCTTCGTGCAAAAATAATTAAGTATGGGGAAATCAGTCTAGAAAATTTGTCAATTTGTTTAGGAAATGTTAAAATTGAGATTTGGAAAGCAAAACGAAACTAGAAGTTCTTGAAGCAGGCCAACCAAAGACATATCCGTAAGGTATCTTTTCAGTTATATCGAACAAAGATTTGGGAAAAGGCAGGAATATTAAACACTGAGACTTGTCAGATAACTGATAATGACAAAGAGATGAGAAGTATTATAAATACATATTTTGTTGCTGTATTTAAGAAATGACCAATTAAGCTACATGTGTTCTGTGATGCCTCAAGAAAGACTTATGGCACAGCAGCATACTTGGTAACAAATGAGCAAACAAATTTGCTTACAACAAAAGCCAGGGTGGCACTGTTGAACGGGTGAAGGGTAAAGTTGAAGTTGAAGGGTGGCACTGTTGTGGCACGGTCATTGCCACAACTGGAGTTAACAGCTCTACTGCTAGGAGTAAGATTGGCTCATTATCTAACCAAAACCAAATAACATGCACTTTGAAGAAATAGTGGTATGGTCAGATAATGAGGCAATACGACAGTGGGTGCAAAATAACAACAGCAAAATGCCTTTCAAACTCCGATATGTACCCACAAAAGAGAATCCTGCTATCTCTCCAGAGGCCTGGCGTTGAAACAATGATCCAAAACTGAGATGTGGTTCTATGGACCTCAGTGGCTAGTCAGTAACCAGTGGCCTGAACAAAAACCACAAGTAATTGTAACCAATGTCACTGCTCCCACTGAGATTCCAGAACCACCCTGGACTTGGTAATTGATCCTACTCAGTACTCTGATCTAAATAAATTAATCAGAGTCACTCAAAGGGTGTTTTGAGTTCTTAAGAAAAATAGGAATCAAACATAAATACACTCACGTTCTGATATTTTGGGTAAAGCAAGTCCAAATCTAGACTTACGGGGGAAGACTTTGTGAATCTCCCTGATAGGACCAGTAATGATCTGGGTCTCTGGATTGACTTTAACCATTACAACATTTTTCAATGCGATGGGTGCATACACCATGCAAATGTTGATTTAGAAGTAAACCATCCGTGGTTTCTCATCCGCAACCACTGGATAAGCAATCGTTCAGCACTCTACATGGTGGGGTACTAGATGCCCTCGTTACATTGCGACAACAGTGCTGGCTTCCTCAAGAGCGCCAGACTGTAAAGTCAATTCTCAAATCCTGTGTAGTCTGCCAGAGGTACGACGCTCTGGTGTGTCCCTATCCTGGACCTCAACCACTCCCTAAGGAACAAGATGTTCACCTTCGTCCTTTTAAGGGGGCCGGGTGCTTGTGTACCAAAACTTCCTCAAAAATACTAAATTGCTTGGTGAATAATATCTTCATGGTAAATGTTCCAACTTTTCCTAATGTATCAACATCATACCATGAACAGAAAAAAAAATCACAATTTAAAATTTGCTTTAAAAATATTAAAATGTCACCAATTTTTTTATTCATTATGATCTCAGAATTGCAGATAACCTTTATGTTCCTAATTGAAAAGCAGTGGACTCTGACCCGTGTTTTCCCCCACCCCCCCAGAATTATGTAGTAAACTACTACATGAAATATGCAAACTCTAATGTAATAGCAATAAAATATTATTAATTTGCATTAGTTAGTCATAGAAAAGGTACAGAAAATGAAATGAAGTGCCTAAGGTCGATTACACAATCGTTCAGCCAACGTTTTGGCTAATTTAATATAAAATCTACTTGCCTTAGAGCTGGTTACACAATAAAATGAATCACTAAATTAATTATATAGTAAATAGTTAGATTTGGCCTCAAACCCATTCTCCTCCCAAATCTCAAATATATACAAATGGTGCTGGAGCAGAGAGAGAGAGAGAGAGGGAAGGAGGCATCCATATTAAGAGTGTGGTGAATGAGAGTCTGAGAAGTGAGCCTCCCACAACACAAATTTCCTCCTGCAAGTTCTAGAAAGCAGCGTGACATTCAACAAAGGAATATAGTTACAAATGTTGATGCAATTTGCAAGACATAAGGAAAGTGCCACAGTTCGGTTAGTCTATTAGCTCAGATAAATTGGGCAATTATTTCTGTGCCTAGGATTAATCGCTAAGGTAAAGTAAAACAACACTTACTAGAACCCTTAGTGCAATATATGCAAGATCTTGGTGGGGAGAGCGTCCAACCACTTGGACTGGACGGTAGAGCGACGGTCTCGCTTCATGCAGGTCGTCGTTCAATCCCCGACC